ATTTTTTGTTTTTCCCACAGTTCCCCCTCGGCCTTCCAGACCCCCGTGAAGAAACGGGTCAGAGCCTTTCCCGAGGGTCCTTCCCCCTCCCAGAAACCCGGGAAGAAGCGGTTTGCCTCCCAGATCCGCTGGTCTCCCGGCTCCGGGGAGGAGACGAAGGAAAACCAGGATTTTCCAGTGAAAACGGGGATTCCCAGGAGGTTGGAGATCTCCCCGCTCCAGGGGGAACCTCCCGGGAAATCCTCCCTCAGAACCTCCTCCTCCTCCAAGCCCCACGTGCCCGTGGGGGCTTTTTATGGCAAAGGGAAGAACTACCTGGACCCCGTGGAGAGGAAGAAGCTCCAGGAGATCCAGGTTTTGGGAACGGGGAGCGGGGCCGGGAATGTCCCGGCTCCAGGCAGGATGGGGAACAGCAGCGGGAACTGGAGCGGGAATCGGGGCGGGAATCCCAAGCCCAAGGCGGCCAAACACGCCCCGAATCCCAGACGTGGCCAGAGCGTCCCAAAGCCGAAGAAAACCAAGGGAGAGATCCCGGCGGGAAAGGCGAGCGCGGAGAGGGAAGCCGGGAATTGCCTCGTCCGGAAAAAGATGGATTCTCCCTTCCGGGTGCTGAGCATGAAGGTGAAACCGGCCCTGAAGCTCCGGCTGGGAGCCGCTTTTTTCGCCGCCGGGAAGAAATCCCACTCCAGGAAAAACCCCGGAGACCCCAGGGCTCTCCAGGCCCTTCCCAAATCCCCGCGGGAGAACGAGGAGCCGGCGGAAAACGCGGAGCCGGCGGGTGGAGGAGAAACCCCAGAGGAGAGGGGGGTGTCGGGAAGGATTCCCGAGCCCCGGGAGGAGGGCAGGGGGAACAGGGAGAGCTCCGGGAATCCGGGAGAGTCGGGACACGGAGGAGAAGCGTCTCCACGGAAAACTGGGAATGTGTCCTGCGCTTCCACGTCCGGAGCCGAGGGAGACGGGGTAAGTCTGGGAGTCTGGGAGCTCTGCTGGGATTAAACCAGCTCCCATAACTGCCAATATCCCTGGATTCTTCCCTCCTGCCTGCCTTGGGAAGGTGTAAAACCGGGATAAACAGCAGGAATTCCTCTCAGTGCCAAGAAACATTCCAGTGCCCGTGGCTGGAAGGAAAGCTCTCAGCTCTCAGCAGGATCTCTTTTTCCAAAGAAAAACAACTTGTCTCATCCCCCTGTTTGTTGTTTTTTGGGTTTTTTTTCCCTGTGGAAAAGAAAGCTGGGAAAGGGATTTTTCAGCTTCCTTTTCCTTCAGTTCTTTGGAGTTGCCAGGAGCGTGGCCAGGCCTGAGCTCTGGGGGGGCTCAGGGGCCGAGGCCTGGGGGGCTTTCCCGGGAAACCTCGGCTCCAAACGGGAAAAAAGGTTTTCCTTGGAAGACTCGGCCCCTCCTGGAGCCGCCCTGGGGTTTTCCCGGCCCTGCCCTTCCCAGACGGTGAAGTCACGGACCAGACACGGACCAGACACGGCAAAACTGCTCCCAAACTGGGC